CGCGTATTTCAAAAATCCATTAGAAGAGTTTGTTTAATGCTCAAAATTCGTCCAATTGATCATCTCAACCTGAAGATGTACGAACATATCAAAAAAATAGATTTCAAGTAATGGAAATGGTGAATCTTGTAATAGAGTTTTGGAACATTAATTTTCAAGATTTTCGAGTGTTCATAGATATCCTCGATCTACACTACTTTATTAAGTTTAAATTTATTAATTAGATATGAAAATGATTTTCAGGCCATCACAAAGATTTTCAATATTGAAACAACATCTTTCAACACTATTTGAAAGAGCTCCATATTGTGATCGTGAAGAGACTCGGCCTCACATAAACCACACCCTACAAAAAAAAAAAAAAAGATAGGGGAGGTCTACGAGAAAATAATTGCTTTTAAGGAAATACATGAAATTGTAATTTTTGGATTATGAAAATCTGAAAATTTAATTTAAAATAAATCTCTAAGTTTTGAGATCCAAAAATGATCAGTGATGCTAAAAATGTAACTTTTGGACTTTCAAAATCCAAAAATTCAATTTTAATTTTTTATTTTTAAAATTAGAAATTATTAAGATATTAAAATGAAAATTTCCGAATTTCAAAATCTAAAAAATTTCATTTCTCAAATAAATTAATTTTTAAAAATATTGGGGATGCGAAAATGCAAATTTTCAGATGTTTAACAACAAAAAGTGGGCAATTTAGTCATTAAAAGTCATGAGGGATTATTGTAATAATCGATAGAAAATAGGTACAAATGTAATAAAAAAAATAACACTAAAATTTAAATAACATTTGAGAAAAGAATATACACAAAATTTTAATTTAACTATATAAGCTGGTGACTAAAATTACTACTACATAACCTTAGCGGCCTTTTTTCTTTCTCTTATTTTTGCTTCTAACCTTAAGATAATTTGTAACTACTGAAAAATATATACATCGATTACGTGAATTCACCGAAATAAGAAAAATAAAGGAGCGTAATTGGAAATTTTAGATCGCTTTTAGAGCACATATATTATGCTCCTTTGGGAGCATAGTTTACTTATACTTCGAAGGATAGATGATCTATTTGGAAGGAAATTTTCAATTTAAAAGAATGTGAACGACATAAACATCACTAGATGGATGAGTACTCTCAAAAAATAAAAAATTAAAATTTGAAGTTTTAACACTTAGATATCCCTTTTTAAAAATTGGATGGTTCACATTCAATCTTGAGATGGTATTTTTTTTTAAGTGCTTGTAGGGATCAATTAGGAATGAAGTTAATCTATAGGTTGAAGAGGTTATATTCCAAACTCTGAGGTACTAGAATTAAATTTTAATTCAAGGAGTATATGAACAGTATACTCCCAAGGGACTAGAATACGTTTTTACCTTTTAATAATGGAAAACTTTTCTATTTAAATAAGAAAGAGAAAAGAAGGTTCTATCGTTCCTCTCTGTTTTTTCAAGATTCAAAAATCAAGAAAAGGCAGAAGCTCCTCCGGCTAGTTTCTGCTGGTTCCGGCTGCCAGCTTCAACAGTCCTCGGTGAGTTTTTTATTTAAATATTCAGTAGTATTTAATAGTTAGTGCTTTACGTTTAGAAACTAAGGAAACTTTTGTTTCCAATTTAGGTTTAGATCAAGAATTAGGGTTTTATAGTTTTGTATTGTTTTTTTTTTTTTTTCTTTTGGGTTTCAATTTTAGGTTATTAAAGAAGGGTTTTACAATTTGTAAAAACTCCTCAAATTACTACCCGAAAATATAAAAATTTGAACAAACCCTATCTTTTTGGTTTTTTTTAATATATTAGTTTTAACTTTTGATATTGAAATTTATAAGGGCTTAGACGATGAATCCTAAATAAAATCCAAACAATGAAATAAGGAGAAAATTGAAATTGCAATTTCTGTTTTAGTTTAAGTTTTGTAAAGGACATTAATAAACCAGCAAAAAAAATGAAAATGCAAAAAAATAAAGTGACATACATATGGGGCATTTTTTTTGTTTTTCTACTTTTCTGTTTTCAATTTTTGGAATGGGAAATCGAAAATGCAGAAGAGAGAAATTAGAAAATCTAAACAAACAGAAAAAATAAAATAAAATTTAAAAAGAAAAAACGGAAATAAAAAAGAGGAAAAAATAGAGAAAAACTTTCTGTTTTTCTTTTTATTATTCGGTTTTCTTTTATATACTTATATAGTTTTAGCTTTTAATGTTGTAATTTGCAATGGCTAAAAAGTGAATCCTAAATAAAATCAGAAAAAATAAAAAAATAAAGAAAAATTGAAATTGAGTTATTATATTATTAATGAGTATTTATGTGTTCTTTACAAATACTGTTAATGAGTATTTATTTATTGTTTCAAGAGTTATATTTGTTTCTAGTATTTCCTACTTTTTCTATATTTTCCCAATTTTTCCTTATTTTACTATTTTATTAATTATTTAATTTCTTAGACCTTAAACTGTTTAATTTCACTTTGATTTACTCTTTTCATTATATTGTGCAGATTGTGAGAAAATATTCACTTTGATTTACTCTTTTCATTATATTGTGCAGATTGTGAGAAAAGGTTCACTTTGATTTACTCTTTTCCTTTGAAATCCCATCTTCCAAAAACTCTCCACACTACTTTCCCTCTTCCCCAAACTTTGTACAGTACTCTCCCTCTTCCTCTCCTTCTTCCCCAAACTCTCCACATTACTCTCCCTCTTCCCCTCCTTCTTCCCCCCAATACTCTCTTTCTCCTAACTCTCCAAAATACTCTCCCTCTTCTCCCCAATATTCTCCCTCTTCCCACAACTCTCCAAAATACTTTCCCTCTTCTCCCCAATACTTTCCCTCTTATCCCCAATACTCTCCCTCTTCCCCAAACTCTCCACACTACTCTCCCTCTTCCCCTCCTCACTGTCCCTCTTCCCCTCCTTTTCTCATGTACTCTCTTTCTCCTAACTCTCCAGAATGCTCTCTCTCTTCTCCCCATTACCCTACCTCTTCCCCCAACTCTCCAGAATACTCTCCCTCTTCTCCCCAGTACTCTCCCTCTT